TCCCAGGCAGAGGTGTGCAGTACAGTTATGCTGATTGTTGATCTGCTTTAAAAACTTACAAACAAGCTCAGGCAGCTCCTCGAACTGCTGTTAAAACACTGACCCAGAGTCCATCTCTGCTGTCTGGAACAAAGTATCGACCGTTTCTCCAGGAGCTGATTTGGTGCACTGCACCCGCTAGCAGAGAGGGGGCCGGATTTGCCCGATATCCACACGGTGCTGCTCACACCCCACACCCATCCTCCAGCTGCATTAAACCACGAACCCTCCCACCACCCCGGCTCCTTCCTGCAGCTCTACCAGGCCCTGCTGCTTTCTCAGCACCTCACAGAGCCCTGGCAGAGCAGCTGGAGGCTCTGCTCACTTCAGGTTCATTGCTCTGCTGCAAACTCGCCCAGGTTTTGTTGTCCGGATTGCAGACACCCATCCCCCTCCTGCTATGGCCTCCTCTGGGCTTGCTCCTGCTTTAGTGCAGATTTTATGGGTAATCATTAGCATCCCTGCTCAGACCCCATTTCACATGAGGATCCACTCTGTGGGGTCATCTCTTGCTTTACTTTGGCTCAGTGTGTCGGGGAAGCCCAGGAGCTATTGCAATGGGATTGGCAGACAGTAAGCTAACTTTGCACATGCAACTTTCTCCGGAGCTGCTGGGTGACCCCTGGCCTCAATTAAACAGCCATGGTCACAGTAGGGTCTGTAAGACCAAGAAGGGAACCCCAAAGGCCTGGCTTTTGCCACTGTCTCTACTTCTGTGGGAACATCCATCTCTTCTCAGCAAATACCCCAACACCCCTCCATGTGCTGCCCATCACAGCCCTGAGATCATTGCTTGCTCAGCCAGGAAGGATACAGGGGTAGGAAAGAACCTCAGAAACAACCCCGAAAGCCCCCACCTCTGATGCATTTGTGCCTTGGCAATGCCAGTGGTCATCGTTAGCATCCCCTACACCGATCCATCCCTACACCTTTTCTCAGACCTGAGGGCACTGCACAGCAGTCCTTCCCTTAGCCCCACACTCCGTCTTCTCACCAACCTTACGCAAAGTCCACTGGTGTCTGTTCACACTGATGAACCTGTTCCACAGGGACAGCGCAGCTTTCGGGGATCCTGCACCCTGCTTTGCTGTTTGAAACAAATCCGAAGAAAGCAGTGACTCCCCAGGGCTGCCACCTCCCTTCCTCTGTGCTGTCTGTGGCACAGCAAGCAAACGTCTGACAGAGGACACAGTGCCAGGTCCAGGTCCTCCAGTGATGGGAGAGCAGCCACGTGGCACATGTGGCTCTGGGACTGTGGGAAACAGTCTGCAGTGCCCCATCCCTCCCATTGCTGGATGAGAGGGATGCTCTGTGCTCTCTGCCATGGCCTTTGGGTGCCACCCCAGTGAGCTGACTCCCAGGGCAATCCCCTGGCTGATGTCCTCTGACACGCAGCCTCAATGCCAGCATTCAGCCAGCAGCCCCAAGGCTCAGACCCCCGAAAGCAGCATATAGGCAGGAGAGAGGTACCATTGCCTGGGCAATCCCGGCAGCCAGGGGTGAGGGAGAAGGGAGTCCTCTCTCTCTCTGAGCCTCTCACCTTTCAAGAGATGCTCTTTCTCCCATTCAGTGTCAAGATCCATTGAAAACATCAGCTCAGGGCTTGCAGAGCAGGTGTCTTTATCAGCAGCACTCAGACCTTGAAGGAACTCATCCCTGGAGGCAAAGCAATTAGGACAATTGAAGGAAGGCAGGAGCAGCACTGCTGTCTGTGACCCAGAATCCAACTTCAACCCTTGTCAGCAGCCTGGAGAGGCCAAGGACTGCAAAGGGCTGCAGTACAGGTTCCTTGGTGCTGCACAGGTTGCTGCTCGATGCTGCAGTCTGCATGGAGCAACCTGGGGAGCTTCAGGGAACACCTGCCTGCTGGGCACAGCTGAAATGCTGCACATGTTTCCTGGGAATGTTGGACTCATTTCAACGTGCTGCTGGCTGTTCATAGTACCCAAACAGGCAGCCCTCTGCAGAGCACCGCCTGTATGGCACTGAAATGAGTGTAACCCCATGCCATCCCCCCACTCTTACATCACCAGAGCTCTGCCAACGACGGCATCATCTGCAGCCCCTCTCTCCTCTCCAGCCGCCTCATCGCTCTGCAGGACCACGGTGCCACCAGGAGCCTCCATCCCATCGCCCTCCACTGCCATTTCCACATCACTGGTGCCGGTGGTCAGGCAGCTCCTGCTGGTGCTGCTGCCCAGCAATCCCTGCAGGCTGACCTCCCGCAGCTCCCCCAGCAGCATCTCCATGCTGTCCCCCTCCTCATCCTCGCAGTGCTCCTGGATCCCCCCATGGCTGGGTTCAACCTGCTCAGTCTGCCAGCTGCGGGGCCCTACAGCAGCACCCTGCTCCTGCTGCTCTGCTCTGGGCTCCTGTGCCCCCAGCAAGCTCCGTGAGTACCCAAGGAGGCTTCTGAAGAACTGGAGCAGGGAGGGATGGCTGGAGGGCCGGGCAGCCTGAGGGGCATCCATTGGTGCTATGAGTGGGGCTGCAGGGCAGCCAGTGGCCCAACGGCTCAGACTAGGTTCAAATTCAACGGTCCCCAACGGCTCAGAGCACGGAGCTGAGCAGGGCCGGGGGCTCTTTCACCCAGTGGGGTGAAATCTGCACACCAAGGGCGGGGAGGGGGCCCAAAAAGGGAGGGCTCCCCTCAACCCACAGCCACTCATCTTTGCAGCATCCTCAGCTCTGCCGTGGATTGGCCTAACCCTGAATGCTTGCACAGCTCATGGAGCTGGGAGGAAGGCTCACGAAAGACTCACACACTCTCCAGCTCCATGGCCAACACCAGAAAGCTGCAACACTCTTGCAGGCAGCAGCAGGGTGAAAGGCTTTGAAAGCAGCAGCTGTGTTTGCCGTCGCAGTGCCACACATCCATGACAATGGTGGCAGCAGACTGCAGCAAACCCAACTGCCCATCTCACCTTGTCCAGCCCGCCCGTGGGGAGCAGGATGTGGTTCTGATGGGTGTTTTCCTGGGATGGGGTGTTTTCCTGGGGCTGCCATCCGAGGCAGAGCATGGCATCCCTACCACGTCCCTGTGCCCAGCAGGGCCGAGCTGCTGCTGCACTGCTGCTGGCACAAAGCTGCTCTCATGGATCACAGAATCACAGAATTGTAGGGGTTGGAAGGGACCTCCAGAGATCACTGAGTCCAACCCCCCCTGTAGGATGTAGGGCATCACTTGGAGACAAACTGGTAGCAGCTCATTTTTGCTTCCGCACTTGGAGCTTCTCCTGGCTGGCTCAGTCAGTGTCTGCTTGGCTATAGCCCATAAGCTGCTGGCTGCAAGAATGGTTTTTCCCCCCCAAAAAAAACTCATCTAAAACTGCCATGTCACTGTGACATGTTGAAAGTGAGGCCCTCCCACCCCCCAGATGCATCCTCTTGCTTCCTTCCCTCTTGTTACCTGGGCAGGCAGCACAGGACACTGTTCCCAAAGCACAGGCTGCACCCCTCCTTGCCACAAAAAAAGCATCTTTGTGCCATAGAAGCAGCTCTTTGCTCTTGTACGAGGAGGGCTGGTAGCGCACAGCTGGCTCAGCCCCTTACCAACAGCAGCACAGGGTTAGACTACATCAAACAAGTGGTGAAACCACTTCCTAAAATGCCAGTAAATCCTGTCACCAAAGGCTCCCTTCTGCAGCTGCTGTTCTATGGCTCTGCACCCACACCAACAACAGGGGCTACTTGTTTCATTTCCATATCCACAACTGCAAAGCTGTATTGGAATTTCTTCCTCATTGCCTCAAGGTCTTAAAAACACAGCATTACAAACCAGGCTGTCCATGCAGCAGCACAGCCATGTGTAGGGTCTCTCAAATGCTTACCACCACCATTTCTCTAAGTCACATTTGCCATTGCTATCCAAGGGCTGGAGCTTTCCATCCAGCTCCCCTCTTCTCCCCATTATGGGCCCTGTCTTGAACACTCTCCAGCAGCAGTTGGCAGACATGTGGCAGTTCCTGCATCCCAGCCTGAGCTCAGCCCTGTCTTTGCTGCGGACACAAAGGAGGTGCCCCGTCCCCTACCCCTCCATCACTGCAGGCATCCACTGCTTTGCCCTCCACAGCCCTCCTCTGTTTTCCAGGACACCCCTGGAGCCAGGGCTGAGCCCTCTGCAGTCATTCTGCCAGCAAAGCCTGGCCAGACACTTCCGGGATTCAACGAATCTTCCAGCTCAGCTCCCCGAGCATCCCACAGGGCACACCGTCCCAGGGTACGGGGCAGACAGCTGAACTGATCACAAGCAGTCAAGCATTCATAGAGGCCCCAAACTTCTTCTCTGGCGTTTGCCAGCAAAGGCTCTGGCAGCGTCGTGGATGAGGGCAGCTGGGGCAGCTTGGTGCCGAGCCAACGCCAGCCCTGCTGAGCTATCTCGTTCTCCAGCATGAATCACACCCTCTCCCCCTCTGGCCGCCCGGGTTTTTTCCCAATCTAGGTGGATTTCGGATCTCCTCAGTCACTCTGAATCACCACTGCCGCCAACCCTTCTTTACCTGGCGGCTCCACGGGGATGTTCCCCACTGGAAATGGTCCAATGACTCCACGAGGGCACTTTGCCCTCCCGAGGATGCCTGGCAGAGAGGAAACCAACCGCGCTCAAAAGCTGCAGCCTTCCCAGACCGAAGCAGCTCAGGACGCCCCATCAAGAGGCAGGGCGGCTCTCAGGGACACGCAGAATCGGGACGCAGAGGTGCGTTGCTCTCCCTTCGCCCGTGCAGGCTCTGCAGAGCGGCGTGCCCCCTGTCGCGCAGCCCGGGGGACCTCGATCCCTCGGACACCCCCGAGCATCCCACGCTCTCGAGCCGCGACGCTCAGCCCCGCAGCCCCTTTCCCACGCTCGGGTGGTGCAAGGCGCCTCTAGAGGGAGCTGAGCCCCGCCCGGCTCCCTTCTACATCTATGGTCTGGGGTTGGGTTTCTTTTTTTTTTTTTTCTCTCTCCTTTTCCCTCCTCCTCCCCGGCCCTGCTCGCTTCCTTCCCCCGCGCCGCGCCGGGAGGAGGCAGGAAGGGAGGCGGCGGGGATGGAGCAGCTCCCCGGGGGGATGCAGTAGCTCGCCGGGATCCCCCCCCCGGCCCGCCTGGTCCCCGCCGGGACACGGTGAGTAGCGGGGAACCCCCGGTGCCCCCCACCCCGAGGTGATGCGCTTTTCCACGCCGCAGGGCCGGGCCGGGCGGTGCCGATCGCTCTGTGAGCCGGAGGAGGGGGAGGTGCGGAGGGGGTCCGGGGGTACAGCGGCCTCGGGGCGAGGGGGGGGGGGGGGGGGGGGTGAGGGCAGAGCCGCGGGGGTTACAGCGCACAGAGCTCCGCAAAGAGAACCGGGCCGGCGGGTATCGCCCCGCGCTGAGTTTTGCCCCGAAGAGCAAATATTGCCCATTTTCGTGATATTTCCTCCAGGTTTTGGGGGGTCGTTCTTGTTTTTTCTCCTTCCCTCGTGAGGCCGCAGAGGTGACAGCCCCCCTTCCCTATCCCCCTCCCCCCCCCCCCTCCCACGGCATCCCCGCGGTTGGGGCCGGGCGGCCCGGTGGGGAGAAGGGCACAGCCGTACTGAGCATCGTGGCGATGTCCGTCTGTCCGTCCCCACGTCTGTCCCCGCTCCGGGCCGTGACCTCAGCGCGGACATCGCACGTGGGGCTGCGTGCTTCCTGCCCGCAGTGCCGGGACGTCGGAGGGGGGGTGGTGGGGGCTCGAGGGCCGAACCCTGAACCGGGGGAGGGGGGGGAGGCACAAATCGGGAGAAACTCATCTGGTTCGCTCGTCTGGGTCAGGCGGGAGGAGCAGGGCCAGCTCTGACCGTGCAGGGCCAGTTGGTGGGGCACAGGGGTCCCGTGTGTGTGCGCTTTGCATCCCCTGTGTGGCTCCGTGCATGGGCTGGGGACCAGGCCTGTGAAATGCTTCTCCCAGAGGATGCTCCGTGCGTTCCCCTGAACAGGATCTTCCTAGCACATCAAGGCCGGAGGGGGAGTGCTGTGCCCATAACCAGGCCTGTTCACAGGGCCCAGCCCGTTATCCACATCC